TACAACGCCCAACTCAAGTTAAACGGGCCAACCTTAGCATGTTTCGGGCTAGCCCTAACGGGCTTCGGTTTAAACGGTCCGGGCTTAAATGCCCTGATTTAAATGGGCTACCAATAAAAAGCCCTAACCCTATTTTTTTCCGGGCTAAACGGGCCGGCCCGTCGGGCCAAGGACCGTTTAACATCTCTACATGTGCCTATAATAATTAGGGGAAATGATATGGTTACGTAGTCATTTCGTCGGAGTTTACGTCGGAGTTTATAATTGTTAGATCATCATGTAATCGTCAGATATAATTGAATTCGGTCAGAGTTTATAATTGTTAGATCATCATGTAATCGTCAGATATAATTAATCTAACAGTTACAAATGACATAATGGTCCGTAACAGGACCATAACATTTCCCAATAATGTGTTATTTTACTATTTTCAGATTGGCGAAGGAAATTTTTTGTTAAAGAAACGGAAAATACTGAAGTTTGATGGTGCATTTTAGCATAAACATCCGCTTAAAATCTAATAACCAATCACGTTACTTTTGTAAAATAAGCTTGGAGCATTCTAGCATGCTATCATTATTCCCACTAAAGGACTTCAAAACATGTAATAGCAATTGTATTATTAGGCCGTGCGTGGAGTTCAACTGGTCAAGTTTATTCTGTCGCCAAGTTAAACAAGTCAGCTCATGAAAACGACCATCATTCTGCAACCGTCACCGCCACAACCTCCATCATTCTCACGCTCCATTACAACAACAACTTGTTAAATTTTAATTAATGTTTGTTCTAACAAATATATATTTTTTTAGTATAAATAAGTCTTGTCTTTAGAGTCTTTTCATTGTATGAATGTTGATGTGGTCGTAAAAAGTGGTTCATGTAGGACCGGTTGTGATCTGAGTTTTAGTCGTACTGAGCTGGGGATTCAATCTGGTAGGCGCAAACCATGGTACCTCTGGAGTACATGGGTGGTAGACGGAGGCTAGCTCGACGTGAGCTAGGCAGGGCACCTTGGCACCTAGGTAGCTGGACGTCCCACTGAGGGGACCAGAGCCCAGAGGTGGTATCATGCTCAAGCCATGAAGAGGTTCGCAACCTCAAGGACTCTTAGGATTTTGACCTAATCCAGAGGAAGACTCATAGTATGATAAGAACTCTTCAGCTCCTACATGACTTCATCTATAAAAAAGCACATGTTATTTTACTTACACAACACACACATAAAAATTCTCTCGTTACTCTGCCGTTTTCTCTTTGGACCACCACTGACTTGAGCGTCGGAGTGCTCGCGCCGGGACCACCCCCGGCGTGTTTTGCAGGTACCGACGATCAAGGAGATACTACCCGGTTCGAAGAGGAGCGGTCCAGCGGTTCAAGTATTTGTGGTACAACAAATTGGCGCCGTCTATGGGGAGAATCAGTCTTCTACCGGAGTATCAAAGGTTGTTTTTTCTCATCAAAGAAGAAGATAACAAGGAACAAGGATCATGACAGGAGATAACTCAAAGAAGAACCTAACGGAGGAGATGGATGAGGAGTGGGCTCGGAGGGCCTTCGGGACAGGTCCCCCACCAGGATGGTCACCATCATCTGTTACCCCCAAAGAGACGCTGTTTGGCCTAAACACGACCTCGACGCCACCACCAGAAGCTCAGGGGCACTCGGCGAACCCAAGGGGATCAGGTGGTATGGCGGACAAAGGGAAGGAAGTTGGCACCCCAGTCGATGAAGTAGTGAATCAAGACGTTTTGGGACCCGGGGGTGCTAGTGGTCAAAGTGGTGCCCTTGGTAAACCCTCCGGGGGGCAATGTTTCTTCAGCATCACGGGGGGCCCAGTTATTCAGATGACCAGGTCGGAGTTGGATAGGTTCATTGTTGAGGCGATAGGTCGAGCTCAAGAGGTGGATAGGAGAGCCCCAAATGAATCTTTTCGACAACCTCCACCCCGGCAGCCACTCGCACCTCAACAACAACACCAGCGTTTGGAGAGGGGCGATGAGGATGATGCCAGGTCGGTGACCTCTCGCCCGGTGGCGACAACACAGCCGAATGGGTTAACTTTGGAAAGGTTGGAAGCTCAAATGCGGGAACTCCAAGCTCGGGTGCAGGGTAAGAGACCTATAGTTTCACGAAGACACCCTTTTGCAGAGGATGTCTTAGGATGGGATTTGCCCAGCAACTTCAGGGAGTTGAGTTTGTCGTATGATGGATCGACGGACCCAGCTAGGCACTTGAGATCGTTTGACAACATAGCCGTGCTGCACAGGTATAGTGATGTTGTGAGTTGCCGAGCCTTCTTGACGACGTTAAAGGGGTCGACGCAGAATTGGTTCCACCAGCTGCCAGCGGGATCTATCGATGGCTTTGAAAAGTTTGGCTCTCTGTTTCTAAATCAGTTCGCGAGCGCCAGGAAGCACGAGAAGACGTATCTCTCACTAATTAATATGCAGCAGAAGGAGGAGGAGACCTTGCAGCAATATGTAGCACGATATACGAAAGAGTGCGTAAAGGTTCCCTCTGTCTCGGAAGAGATCAAAGCTGGAGGTCTTACGCGGGGATTGAGGCCTGGGAAGTGCAGAGATTCATTGACGAAGAGGCCAGCGAGGTCCTTTAACGAGCTACTTGAGAGGTATAGCAAATATGTGAACATGAAGGAATCAGAGGCGGACTTCATCCGAAATGATAAAACAAAGGCTAAGCAGGTGGAGGAGAGGCCTTGACAGGGTGATCGACGAGCTGTCCCTAAGGAGTCTCGGGTCGAGGATCGGTTCAGGGGTCCGAGCACTACAAACTAATTAATGCTCCACAATAGGAGATCCTGGAGATGATGGAGAAGCGGAGGGAGGATAAGCTACTCTCACAACCAAAGCCTCTACCCCCACCGCGGAAATTTTCAAAAGGAAAGGATAGATATTGTCGGTACCACCGCGATTATGGCCACTCTACCCATTTCTGCCGAGAGTTGAAAGATGAAATTGAGCGGCTCATTAGGGCTGGTCACTTAAAGGAATTCGTGATCAAGGATAAAGAGAGCCAGGAAGATTACCGCGAAGGGCGTGAATCAGGTGACAAGCGAAGAAGGACTGATGAGCAACCTGACAGGACAATCAATAAAGGCATAATACACATGATCGCGGGAGGTCCTACAGATGAAGATTCACTTAGGGAGATGAAGAGGACCTACCGGGGAAAGGGTGTTTCCAATGAGGTGGCCGAAGTGCAGGGACATAGAAGCTTGGCTACTCTGAAGTTTGGAGATGATGACGTGTAGGGGCTTGTTGTCCCACATAATGACGCCTTGGTCATCACCGCAGAGGTGGCCAACTATGATCTCCAGAGGGTGCTTATAGATACAGGAAGCTAGGCGTACATCATTTTCCAGAAGTGTTTGCAACAGATGGAGTTAGACGTGAAGGTCGAGCCGGTACACACTTCTCTATATGGCTTCAGCGGCATCAAGGTTCGTCCCGTTGGCGAAGTTAGCTTGACTGTAGCGTTGGGAAGGTCACCTATGAAGAAGGTGAAGATGGTCCGACTCTTGGTTGTTGATGCTAACTCGACATACAACATCATACTAGGCCGATCGAGCTTGAACTCATTTCAGGTTGTTGTGTCGACTTATTGCATGAAGGTCAAGTTCCCCGTAGGGAATGAGGTTGGAGAGGTGGCAGTAGACCAGCTGCAATCTCGGTGGTGCTATGAGGTCACATTGAAGACGGTCGAGGCGCAACATAAGAAAAGGAATGACGACCTACCTGAGTGTTCCCATCGAGAAAAGAAACAAGAGTTGGAGAGGAGCTTCCGGGACGAGCTGATAAAAGTTGATTGATATAAGGGCAGTTGTTTCCATGACCATGGAACATATCACATTTGAAGAAATATTATACGTAGTTGGAGACGCGCTATCTTTAATTGCTTTCGTTTGTTATCGGTTATGTTTCAGAGAGACAAGTAATAAAAAAATTGCATTTGAATTTTTTCAGCTTAACTCTTTTCTTGTGTGATGTGTGTGCAGGGCGAAAGCCTGTTAGTCTCGCCTAAGCTCGCGGAGCTAGGCGATGACCTCTTTAGGGCGCAAGCCTGTTAGTCTCGCCTAAGCTAGTGGAGCTAGACGATTACCTCTTTAGGGCGCAAGCCTGGTGGTCTTGCCTTAGCTCGCGGAGCTAGGCGACGACCTCTTTA